TAAAATCTGCGAAGACTGAGGTCAGACTGCTCCTCAAGGGTTTAGTTTAGAATTTTATTCCTTTTTAAAGAAAACAAAAGTTAAAATCAATTGTAGATAGCTCACTGGGTATGGACAAGGAAGGAAAGAATAAATTACCTTGGTCAGAAGATTCATGTTTAAAGCAAAGATGTTACATTTTATATCAGTTGGCATAACTTTATGAGCTAGTTCCAAATTTAGGAGAAAACAGTCATATTGAACTCTAGAGAAAGGAGATTATTTCATCAAACTGAAATGAAAATTATTACAGAGATGTTGCCATAATTAATTCATCGAGAAGGTCACAATACAGCATACTTTATTTTATAATTCTTTCTTTGAACTGTTCTATAACCCCCCAAATTAATCTGAATTCCTCAAAGAGTAAGACAACACTTTGGATTTCCCCAAAGAATAAGATGGCACCTTCAATTCTGATAATTAAATCGCAGATCTACCTCGACTACTTGTATTTGGTTACTTTGTTTTTGATCCAGGGATTTAGCCATATCAAATTTAAGAAAATGAATGAAATAGCGTTCTCAAATTATTAATATTATTTTGTCAAATTTTCATAAGCAAAGTGAACTAAGAAATAATTACCACATATTAACATTTAATTCTGATTGTAAGAAAGATTAGCAACTTAAAAAATTGTCAACTATAGCCGGGCGGCGGCGGCGCACACCTTTAATCCCAGCACTCGGGAGGCAGAGGCAGGCGGATCTCTGTGAGTTCGAGGCCAGCCTGGGCTACCAAGTGAGTTCCAGGAAAAAGCACAAAGCTACACAAAGAAACCCTGTCTCGAAAAACCAAAAAAAAAAAAAGTCAACTATAATTGGTCTGCATTAATTTATATTTGTATGAAGCTGTATTGTAACTAATCATAGCTTTCTGTTATCATATTTTACATTATCAAGATTTATGCTGTACAATCTATTTGTGTTCATTTTAAATGTATCATTTATAGAAAAAATGTAAATGCAAGTGTGCTGGACATTGTTAATATATATATAATGGAGTTTTTTGTCTGAATCTGTCAAATGTTAATGGACTAGACACTGTTAATGTCATTATTGACCTTATATATTGTATATACTTATTGGATATAGTTTTTCTTGTATTAGTTATAAGCTTCTTTTATTATTTTAGACAAAAGGGGAAATATGGTGATATGATGTCTCCCAACATATTGTGCACCCTAATAAACTTATTTGGGGTCAGAGAACAGAATAGCCTCTAGATAGACATAAAGGCCAGAAAATGGTGGCATACATACCTTTAATCCTATCACTTGAGAGGCAGATGGATCTCTGTGAATTCAAGGCCACACTGGAAAAAGCTAGGCATGGTGGCACACATTTTTAATCACAGGAAGTGATGGCAGGAAGCAGAAAGGTATAATAGGAGTGAAGACCAGGAACTAGAGGCTTTTAAGCTTTTAGGCTTTTAGCAGCAGTACAGGTGAGATCCATTCGGATGAGGACTCAGAGGCTTCCAGTTTGAGGAAACAAGATCGGCTGGGAAATTGACAAGGTGAGGTTAGCTATGAATTGTTCAGCTTTTCTGATAATTCATAATTTACCCCAATACCTGGCTCTGAAGTTTTTTCTATTAATAAGACCATCAAAGGTTCACGTTACATTCATAAGGCTAAGATTCTCTCCCAAATAAATGTACATATTGAATGCTTTCGGCTATAAATAACCTATGCTTTTGTGATACATGTCTCATGTTGTTCCCTTTGGGACAATTACTCTGATCTTGTCACTTCGTGGTGCTAATGTTACCTTGAACACACAGCAGGCATTTTCTCTTAGATCTGTCCGTTTTCTCAAATTCTATCATGTCCTCAGTCTGACATATTCAGCTTTACTAAGTATCAGTGATGCCTTGAAGGTCAGAGTTCTGAGGCAGAATTCTTCCACAATGACTACATTCCAGATAATAGTTGAGTACAATTAATTGTGACCCCATTTTGACATAAAGTTCTCCATTCTTCTGTGTCATGCTGTTTGTAACTGTTTCAACTGGAGCGCCTTATTCATTCATCGCTGCCGAACTCAAACAGCTACATTTTGGAGGACTGATCTGCCTCTGAATATAGCTATTAATCCCCTTTGGATCTCAGTATCATTTGTCTTCTCCTTGGAGCACTCCAATATATTTGCTTTCCAATTTACTTTTGTTTAGCAGCCCATATTTCTTAAGCAAATTGATACTATCGTGTCATTTCTAAGGTGAGTTCCATCCATTATATCTTAACATTTTTTTGTCAGTCACTATTACATGAAATTTCACACAAGAGAAAAAACAACTAGGAATTGCATAAATAATTTTTAATTTACTTTTCTTCAACTGCAAGTGCTGACATGCACAGTGGATGGCATCCGAATTGAGCAACCAGAAGCCAGACTCCTACTTTTTGGTAGTATGATTGACACTTTTGTGTGTTTGTCATTTTTAACTTCTTATTCCTTTGTAAAACCCACTCTTCATGTCTTCTAAAATGTCTTATTCCACAGCTTTGTTGATATATAATTTATATGCAATAAAGTGTACATATGTAAGTAAAAAATTCACCGTTCATATATACACATCAATGCATTATTTTCTTTATATTAAAAATAATTAACACAACTATTATTCTTAAAAGTTCCATTATGTTTCTTTACTGTACCCTACTCTTGACCCCTGGTCCTGTACCATTAAGAAGCTTTTGAAATGCTTTTTAATTAGGTAAAATTATTGCCCATTTTCTATAACTAAATTGAAGTCGAGCAATCTGGTGTATATACTTTTCAGTATATTTTTTACTCATCATAATGATTTTGAGATTATCTCATGCAAGGTTTGCAAAAATAGGAAATTCCTTTGTTCTCCTGAGTAATACCTTAATATATAGTTATATCTCAAATTATTTATGCATTCATCTGTTGTTCAATATTTGGATTGCTATCAGTTTGGGGTTATTATGAATATGGTGGGTATGTATGCTTGTACAAATGGCTTTGCATGAACATAAGCTTTCCTGTCTCTTATGATAACTATCATATGATAAATGTACAAATTTTGTTAAGTTGCTACTTAACATATTTGTTACAATGTATTTTGTATTATAATGTTCAACAAACTATCAAAATATATGTATAGATATCAATGTTTTAGATTTGGTTGTCCAAAATAATTGCACCATATATTTTCACTGGCATGAAATGGAAATTCCTGTTGCCACTTATCTTCACATGTGTGAGGGATGTTCAGGTTTATGTAGATTTTATTCTGTATTTTCTTTTAGACAGTTTTTACTCTAATTTTTATTTATCTATTCACTTTTATTTATAGTAGTAAGATTTTGTTTATGATATTTTAGAATGGCTTCCACTTAGATTGGGTGACGATTTCAGGTTTTTAATTTAAAATTCTTGCATTTGAAATCATAGCTTCTTTGGGATTTGATAACGCTCTGGGCACTATCTGGGTTTCTCTTCACATGAAAGGTGTTTATTTTAATGTAAGTTCAACTCATTTTGTTTTCTTAATTTTTGCAAGAAAAATCCATCCATATTATTATAGGGAGAATGAAAATGATCACAGGTATTTACATAATGAGCTTGTGTTGGTGTTGAGAATAAGGTCTAGCTAATAAGATCTCTAGTACAAACAAGTTTGGAATAGATATAATGGTTACCTTTGGTGCTTAGGTAGAAGAAGAGAAGAAACATTTCCACATAAAGGAAATGATTCATCTTATATCCTCTCGGGCCTTTGTCATACAGTGTGGCTCAGTGAATATTAAACTGATGAAGATGCTGAACTGTTTTGGAAAGGAATTGTGGCCACGTAAGCATTGGTTAAATATTTCCTTCTGATTCTCTGAACAAATAAAACAATACAAGTTGCCACAAACCAGAAAAAAATATTTTAGAGATTATATCCTATGACTGAAATAGACAGTAACTATAAATAAAGGTAAAATTATTATTAAATATTGTAAATACACTAGTAGGATAAAACACCGACAGTTTGATTCCACAGATATTCCGTTGTATATCCTGAAGTGTCTCTGAATAACCCAGGAGCCGAATGTAGTAGGAAAAGGATGTCCCAATGGCTGAAAAGGGAAGAGATGCTCTTTTTCAGGGACTGTTCTGCTCTACCTTCAATGTACAGCTGTGTAGCAACGATGGCACAAGTCACCTGGTTCTTACACTAATTACATCAGGGACAATGGACAAATCTCGTCAAACATCAGTAACCACCCGAAGTAAATCATTTCTGGAGTGAAAGGATTCCTGTTTCATCCCCCACTTTGAGGTTGAAAACTGTGTGTGAGGTACGTAATTGACAGTTTCCGTCACTGTTACAACTTTATTTCCCTCATCACAAACTGATCTTAAACTTAAACCTAGCATATCTTACTACTGGAAATTTTTTCCTAATAAAATATTTTTGGAAAAGAAAAAGAAAAGAAAGCTCTGGTGACATCCACCATAAAATAAGTAGACTGTTAGGAAACTGATATTTTGTATTATATCTTAGGACATTATTGGGGTCAAATATAAACTTGATCTCAGACCATTAAGTATCAGTCATAAGTAGTTGGTTAATTAACTCAAACATCACTCATTTATAGCAAGAGAGTATAAATACAAAGTGCCTCTAGTCTGGGGACCATACTTACTTTTTATAAATTGCCATAGGGAGTGCATATAATTCAGACCCAGAGATGTTCTTTTTATTTTACACATAAACTGTCCTTTAGCTAGTATTTATATATCTTAGTCCTTAAAAGTTGCTATTGTTTTATAGACTATTGTCATTATCTTAATAAATGTTCATATTTAATTGCAATCTTGTGAATTATTCATCAGAATAGAGCTTATTTATGCAATGATGGGAAATATAAGGATTCTGGGATAAGACTGAATGACGTTAAAATCTCAGCTCCATGATGGGCAACCTTACCCTGACATGAAGCTTAGTTTGAGTGTTGGAATAAAGTCACTGACCAGCATGGTTTCAGCTTATCTGTGTAATATGAGTTAAAGTATATGTCTATTGAGCAATGGTATATAACAATGTAGTGCCTGGTGTTCTCAACAGAACGAGACTACTAAAATGGCATTATTTTGTACTTTTACATATTAGCATTTAACAAGTGTTGGAATGGATAATGAGAAATGACTGATAGTTTTTCTTCCAGCTTAAATATCTGGCTATGGAATTATGCATGCTACAGTGAGCCCTTCTCTCACGCTTCAAAGAGGTGTCTATTCTGGGAACAAACCGGTTAGGGGATAGAAAGCGTGTTAAAGAAATTAAGGTTGCACAGGAATTTCTCTTATTAAACTGAGAAGTTTACATGGTGGAGTGGGAAAACATGAGTGGGTTAGGAAGCATATGCAATAAGAAATGAATTCTAGAGTTAATAGGAGCTTTTTTTTTGTAGATCACCTTTTTTTTCCCATTATGCTTCAGATATCATAACATCTTAAGGGTGCAAAATAATTCAATGTATGCAGCTGATATTGTGCCTTTTTACATAGACATAAATTTGTGGGGGTATATCTGTGTGTGTATTCGACTATTTTTTCCATTTCTATTTTTCATGTGTATGCATGTGTGGAATGAATGCACATGTGTATTTTTTTGCATGTGTATGGGCACATGTGCATGTGGAGGACTGAAGTTGATGCTGGGACCCATTCTCTCTTGCCCTCCCACCTTCCTTATTGAGACAACATCTCCCATTCAAACCCAGAGCTAGTCACTTGCTCTGTGGATCCTGTCTCTTCTCACAAGGTTGTAGGACACAGCACTGGTCCTCCATGCCCACCCTGCATGGTTTATATGGGTTTATGTGGGTTTCTAGCTATCTGAATTTGGGTCTACATGCTTGTATCACCTGTGTTTTAACTGCTGAATCCACTCCTTGCCCTCTTTTTTTTTTTCTTCTAAAAATACATCTTGAAAAGGATGTAAGCTACCTTATTTATTTCTTTATTCCTTGTTTGTTGTTCACTTTACAATCCAGTTTTACTCTCCTCTGTTAAAAGCCTGGTCCATAATAAGCACATTTACATATGGATAAACATAAAGAACCAGCCTGAGTTTAAAATAACAGCTTCAACAGCATATTGGGAGCACTTAAAACTCTAGAGGGCTGTTAGCTCTGATTGGAACTGTTATGACCATTTGCTCCCAAGATAAAACTCTACTGTGCTACCCTTGGCTTAAACTCCCAGTGATTGTACAGAATACTGCTTGGGAACACTATAACAAAACTATCCTGGGCATAATAGCTATATACACTCGGAGTCAGAAAATTGCCAATTCAACTAGAAAAAAAAGGGGGTTGCTTGAATAAGATGCAGCTCTGGAGCTTGCTCATTGTTTCTAAGTAGGGTTTGTGGATGTACATATTAGAGAGCTATAAACCATATCTAAAGGAAAGAATGACTCTATTAGTCATTTCTATTCTCAGAAAGATTTTGTACTGTAAGGAATTTAAGCACTGGTGCATGAAACTTAGAAACAGTCCAATAACTTCATGCATTTAACTCCTATTCTGGCTTAGGAACCATTCAAAGCAGATAAACTGCAGACCATAAGATTTATAATCATACTGTGAATATTTTGATAGCTATTATACCGTGAACAAATTTGAGAACTCTTTTCTCCCTTTGAATCAAGGCAATTCAAATGCTATATTTGCCAGCAAACACAATTTTAGAAATCATTAAAATTAATGAAGTCATATTTTCAAACAATAGAAATATTCACTGCAATTAATTTATTTTTAGATCTATAGAAATAGATTTTATGTTCTGATGTGCTCTGATATTCTCAGTCCCTTTATTGTGGGCCAATGATAGTAAGAAGTATTACCATGTGACTAGTAGTCAT